CTTTCCACATACAGGATAAACACAATGTGGTCACAACCAAGATTCCATGTACTAACCTAATGAGAATAAATGAATAACTAAGATTAAAAACAAGAGGGTAAAAAAAATCCACCAGACTAAACATGATCCTAACAGCCTACCTGGACAGAAAGCATTAATTGTCCCTGGGGTTATAAGACCACAGCCATGGATTTTCAGAGCACACCTGCTACTGCACCTGAAGTGCAGAAGATGCCAAAGAAGCTAAAAATGCTTAAAAGTGCAGTGGTTTGAGAACTTGGAGCCTATCTTCTACCCTTTGGAATAGTATTTTCACTCTCTTCTGTCTATTATTCACCAGTTCCTAGCTAAAAGCTAATTTTTTCCATTGCTCTTCATTTATGATGCCATTATTACCTGAGCAGACTGAGTGTAAAATATTATTCCATACTGATAGTGTTCTATATCACGGCTGCCAGAAAAGTGCAGAGTGGTGCAGCTTCAGACATTACTCCCTCACCTGTGTTTCAGCTTGGAAAAGACTCACAGCTTAATCTGAATCCAGGCTTCCTAGAACTAGAGTTTATACTTGCTTCTTTGTGAAATCAGCTTCCCTGGAGGAATACAATTCCCAGCTTCATCCAAGAACTCAATGAGTATCAAATCCTTCAAGAGAACAAGCAACTGGGATCTCTCTTCAGAGAGCACCCAGCACTAAATCATGCAGTCTGGGGCTTGGGAGGAATTCCTACAGCAGGCTTGTTTCCCAGCTGAGGCTGGGACACAAACAGCAGTGGTGTTGGTCAACGTGCTGTTGTTATAGCACCATTCACGGGAAACAGTGTTGTGCAGCATCAGCAGGAGAGAAGCACCTGTGGTGAGCACACACATAACAGGGATCTTACAAAGGCTCAGTGCTAAAGAATGCAGAGGGTAACTTTGTTTAGTGTATTGGGTGCTGCCCGTGCCCTGTGAGTGTCACAAGGGCACCGACCAGCTGCTCACTGCTGACTGATGGACCTGGGGAACCACCTGCAGTGTCAGTGTGATTCTGCCCAGTGCAGCACTTGACGTTAACAGCCTCTACACAACTGAAAAATCATAGTTCATTATTAAAATGCTTCACTCAGAAAACATGAAACATGCACAGGAGATGCCCTGTTTTCAGGAGTTTGGGAAATACTCATTTTGGGAGGGCTAAATCCCTCACTGATTTCCACAATACATGTTTCCTTATGAAGGCATTAACTAGTGAGCCCAAGTCCTGTTATATATAATTGCAGACCAACTATTGGAACTACAGAGCTCAAGGCACCAGGATTTCAGCCTAGACAGCATTGTTAGTATTTTTCTGTTAATTTTTTAAAATCCACTCCAAGTTCAGGATTCAGACTCTCACTACATGCTAAATCTCACAGGTTACCCAACTCTGCAACACTTTTCCAAAGATGTGGTTACAGTAGCTAGAAGGCGAAATAAATAAGTAGGTAATAAATAATAAACATAACAAATATATTTATCACTGCTAACTAATCCACATACCGTGGAAGTCTCAAAGTTTTTTTCAGCTTGTAAGGAACATATTTAAAAAATAAAATCTGACATTATAATTTAAGAAGGTGCCCCATGAACTAGATTGAAAAGTCATGATTTTCAGACTAAATTACAGATCTAACAGTGTTTTGCTTCATCACCTGATGCCTTCTAGGTTAACTCTCAGTCCTCATTTACCTCACCCTTAGACATGTCATACTACATGGGAAGAGAAGTTCCTTTTCCTGCCCCATCCATGCTATTCCAAAACACATTCTTAAAAGTTTCGAGACACAAACTGCAGGAGCAAGTTGTTAAAGATGCTACTGGGGGCTTAAGAAAGCTTTAGTCAGGGCAAGGAAAGAAAAGGGGGGAAAGAAGAAGGGGGGACTGAAACTGGTAAGGAGGAAGGAGAAGAAAAAAAAGGGAAAGGGAGAGAAAGAAAAGGGAAAAGAAAGCCCACCTCACCTCTAACCATGAAGAACAAAGCACAGCTAAGGAGTTCAACTGAGCTAGAAAGGTTCAGGCCAGTTTTGGACATGCAGAGGCCACAAGTAGTTCCAGTTTTTGCTACTTTTGAAAAAATGGGAACCCCAAGTCTGTGAAAGCTTATCCCCAAAACTATGCCTCATGAAAGGCTCTATTACCATATATATATACATATAAATGCCACTGATCAGGTATTATACAATTTGATTACAATACATGTGAATAAAAATACTTCAGTCATCCAGCATAATTAATGCAATGCTTCTGTTTTCACAGGTGCAGGAATAGATCTGACATCAGTTGCCCATTCTCAGTGAGCAGCAGTAAGGAGAACAGACTGTATTGCCCTGAAAGCTTTAGGGTCAACAGGGCAAAGTTGTCTTTAGGAAAGGGGGCGAGGAGAGACACTGGAGCAGCTAAGCATCCCAGACTTGGGTCTGCTTAGCATTCATTTGTGCTGTAGCCAATGGGGAAATGGTATGGATTAATTCTAGGAGACACAAGGAGCAAATCAAAGCTGTAAAGGTACCTCTGACATGGAAAAGAGCAAGAACTCCATCAGGGATCCATAGGATCATCTTATTTATTATGGTGGTAAATGAAGAGTACTCTCAATCCTTTTAAACAAACTTGTCTACAAGGAAAGTGCATGCCTACATATCTTTAAACAGCTATGAACTCCAAAATCTACTTTTTAAAAATTCTGAAGAATTAAACTCCATGTTTATTAAGTGTTGTTACCGCATTTAACTGCACATTAATGCAAACTTATTAATAATTACAGTCACACATGTAACTACAATCCTACTAATGAAATTTTAATAAAATTACAAAGAAGTTTTAAGTGGAAACTAAGGAAGGAAATGAAATTAGACAAGGCATAGCAGAGTTCTCCTATGCATTGTAAATTAAATCCCACTAACGTACAAGTACATAAACATCAAACTCACCTTAAGCAGAGTCCTAGTAATGTCTTGTTCTCTCTGACTGGAGTTTTCATATTGTCCATCTTTCAGTCCTCAGCATCACAATCTCATTGTTCAATGGTAAAAGAGCACATTTCTAGAAAGTGACTTCAGCACAAGTCTCTCCCTGAATAGTGTCTTCAAAATTCTATTACAATGGAAACTATACTCTTAGTATTTGTTATTGAAGACAGCCATCACCACCTGCTGTTCTTCTGGCAAACACTCCTGCCCACATAGCTTGTAAAAAAACCACCCTTAAACATGTAATTATACAGTCATTCCTGTGACATTCAGGCTCAGCACTTCCAAAAGCCACCAGAAGGAAGGTCCAGCTGATGCACAGCAGAAGTACAATGGCAATGCAAAGGACAAAGTCCTCCTGTCCTAAATCACAACAGTAACGTCTCTAAAAGTTTCACAGGGAAAAGGACTTGAACACCCGTTTCTCCCTGAAAAGCACATGGGAAAACATGAACATGCAATATCACAACATTCATGCTATTGAAGGATATGCATAAAAAGAAAACCTTCATACCGTACATGGAAGAGTGAGTTACATTTTAAGGAAGACATTTCTGATGGCCCAGCTGATTTTTTGGGGGGCTAAATTCTTGATGGACAAGGGTAGGAAGGTCCTTCAGCCACCTCCCCCCTCTGATGACTCAAAAACTACTGTGTGTGTGTGTGTGTGTTGGGAGTGTGCAGTAAACTTAAGCTTCATAAAAAAAGCTTCTGAATAGTTGAGCTAAGACATCACCTTAATTCCAGTCCCCATCTTCAGAACAAATATCCGACTCCTGAACCATACCCAGGATTTGTATCTCAACAGGCTGGAGAAGGTGAAATTGTAAACACATGAAAAACACCCTCCAGTCCCATTGGTACATTGCACCAGCCCCACGCACTTGTTTAATACAGCTCATCAAGAAGTGCTCTGGCAGATCCATGATGTTCTACAACCAAGGTTTTCTTCTTGTTCTTTTCTTCAATTCCAGCTCTACATATTGGAAAGCCCATCCCAGTGACATTTTTCAAGATCTGTGGATGAAAGTAATGTGAACCAAGACAAAAAATATTGTTTTAAATTAAATCAGAAAAATAGCTACGCCTGGAAAACCATGTAATATGTGCATTGGAATGTCAGAAATATGGTTTAATAAAAACTGCAGTACAATGCAGACTTGAAAATTTCTAACTACAAGAAAAATGATGCCACTAAACTCCTAATTTTAATCTATTTTTGCAGCACACTGTCAAGAAGAAAAAAAGTTCCAGGGTAAGAACTAAAAATTTCATTGCAGTAACAATTTTTTATTGCATGTTTAAAATGCGTTTTTAAAAACAAATAGTGCACGCTGGCTTCACTTTAATCTCCTGAAATATGCACTTATGATGGGAAGCCCTGGGGCTACAGATCCATCTATGATGTTTATTAACAAAATATAATCCCAGTACATTTCCCCAGGGGACAGTATTTAGTTCCAAAAGATTGTCAACCCTGTACTCTAACACACTTGAATTAGTTGTTTGTGTACACTAAATCCATTTATTTTAAATTTATTTTGTCTACATTTAGTGAAATAAAAACATCGCCCTGTACAATCCACCATCAGCAGTGAGTACAACAGCAAAAATTATTATACAGTTTATACACACTAAAATCTTGTCCTTTTTCCTATAAAGAAACCAGAACAAACCTAATCAATATAGAGTTTAATTCAGAAGAACTCAAATTACAGAAGGGAAAGCCAAAATTATTATGGTCTTTTCTGAGCCCCCAGAAGTTCCTGATTCATGTTGTTGGAACAGTGATTGCAGCTGGAAGAGTGAAACATGCTCAAGTTGTCTTCTCGGGTCTTCAAAAGATTACCAAGTATTTAAATTAAACATGTCTAGTTAAAGAAACATTTGAAGCAGAGCAATATAAGTGGGAATTTTGCCTCGCCACTTGTGGTTTCTTTTAAACCCAACTTATACAATGCGCGAAGTGCTAAGCAACACTACAGAAACACATTTACATCAACACTGAAGATCTGGGGAAATGAAATTCCAACAATTTTATTTTTTTTAAATGAGCTGTATTTTCTAAATTTGTTTTTATTTCTCTGTTTTCATACAGTATTGAAAACAAACGCGGCACATTCACATTTTCCCGAAGAATTGTAAGGATGATCTCTACAGGGATAACGTTGAAAAGCCTGAAGCTCAATCAATTCAGGTTGAAAACTCTCAAAAGGAGTAAAAGGCTTGATCCGAATGGTCTAGAACATGTACTGTAATTTCATAGAAGAGATGGTCGTCTTAATATTAATGATTTAAAAGAACTTCCCAGTTCATGCGAAGAGTATAGTCCAAGAATAAATCAAATTTTCTGAACGCATTTTATGCTACGTAAGTGTATACTTTGCGATCCTCAGGTGTTCGTGCCAAATATTCTCTCTCAATAAGTCCTTCAATACGTTTTTTAATAACAACTGGACTTGGTAAGAATCGGGCCTTCAGCTGCTGAGTTACCTAAAACGTAAAATAAAAGCCAATAATGTAAGATCACAGCGCAAGTAAGATCTTTAAGTATTTTAACAGACCACAATAATCAGAAAAGAGTATATGAAGACAGAGATGGCTACAACTATGAAGCATAAGAGGAAGTCTGCAGACTTCTGACAGTCCCCCAAGTTGCTTGCTCATGTTTGGGTATGATTCAAAGCTCTACAGAGGCGTGGTCACAAACTGAGAATCCTGAAGTTACTGAAAATTACTACAGTCCTGAAGCTGTCTGAACTTAGGAGTTACAAGCAGAAGGATTATTTCTCTCTCTGCTAAGAGCTCAAATCTCTCAAAACTGAACCCAAAAGGCAGTAAAAAGATCAAAGCAGAAAATAATCATGTTAAGCGCAGTGTTTTTTGTCGTCAACTGCTTTTCAAGGGATTTAAAATCATAATAGCACTAAAAGGAGGAAGGGAGATCAGATATACCCATAAGTACATCCCAAAGTGAAGGGTAAGGATTTAGACGTCTTCAGAAAGACAGGGAGAAAGAAAAAGGATAGGTTAACTATAGCATCTCTCAAAGGCCTTTCAGAATCACGTCAGTAAGAGCTGTGTAACTTCAATGAGTTCATAGGAAAAGCAAAAAGAATTCCTGAGTCCATATCCAAACTGTGTACAATCATACCTCTGCTACTAGCACGTTGTGTTGCATCTTCTTTCTAGATTTCATTATCCGAACTATAGCAGCTTCTATCTCATGTTTTCTGTCATCATCTACTTTCTGCCTTGTTTCTTTCCTTTCTGGATCAGATTCTCCTTGTTTGGCAGCAACTTAAAGAAAAGAAAGAGAATGTAAATTATGCTAGCAAAATTAAGATTTATTTCATTGTGTGTTAGCTTCACTGTTTATTTCATCTAGACATCAAGTTATATTTTCCTGAGTTTTGACATTCTTAAAGTTGATTTTTTTTTTTTTATGAAAAGCAGCCACAAGAACATATTAACAGTTTCTGGCATATTTTGATAGCAAGTGACAAGATAACAATCTGTTATTTAATTACTAGTATGTTAAAATTTGAACAGTACTCAAATGTTCTTACAGGCACAGGCACCACCAACCCCCATACCCTCACGCTCACATTAAATATTTTTCTCTTTAATATAGCAAATAATCAATTGAAGTAGAAAAAGGGTTGAAAATTTACTTCACAAACTAGTAAACACTTTAAAAGTTCATCAGTCAGAAGAAATAGTCCAACTTTATCCTCTCCAACTCAACTATATTATTTGTATTCTGTTCTCTTCTATTTATGTTTTATTTCTGCCCTTAGGCTGAGCTTTTCTTTGCCCTTCACCCAAGCATCATTACAACCAAGCCCTCCTCCTGCACTGATACACCATTTTCCCCCTGCCCTTCTTCACTTAAAAGTCCCAACTATTTATCAGCTTTAAAGAGATACACACAAGAACTTTTCTGTCTTATGTCAGAAAGATAAACCCACAATTACCTAGTTTGCTCTAAAATCATCTTGAACCCAAACCATATTCCCCATTCACAGACATTTGTGGAGTGGAAATGAAAAGGCAGAATTCTGCTAAAGCTCAGAGAGTTGTCACACAATCTACTTTAATTTGGCTGCTGTGCTCCTGCTCACCAGGAAAAGCCTCCAGAGGTGATAAATGTGTTGCCAGTGTAGTGCTCTGCATGCATGTGAAGGGGGTCAGGACACCACTCACACAGAGGGGTATGTGCAGGGTCAGCTATGTAGGCACTACTGGGTTTTTACCTGCTGCACAGAAGCCCAGCAAGTTCTATTATGTGTAACAAACAGCATGTGAATTACCAATGTTGCACTTAAAACACTCACTTTCACAGTAGTACAGCAACTTATGAGGCAATTTTCCTATTTCTGAATCAATCAGTAGCATAATTTTTATTTTATTATTTGATTTGAATTATTTTTCTTTCAATATTTTCTTTAAGAGATAGTTACAAAGTTTTTAAAGTAAAAGGCTTAACTGACTTCCATACTTTTCTTGGTATTAGAGTTTTCATTTTGATGCAACTAATCATCATCTAAAAACCCCCTGTGTTTCTCTCTTCCTTTTACTTCTATGGACATCAATCCTGCAAAAGATAATTTGAAATTTTAAGGCAGTTTTGAGACTGCAAGAGAGTAGAACATAAAGCTCACTTACCCGTCTGAATCTTGACCCTGTGTAGCTTAGATGTGAACTGATCATTCACTGTAAATATATGACCATTTTCTATTTCTTTTGATTTAGGTTCTTTTGTGAGAACACGTTGTGTTGGTTTGCCACATGCAAGGGACTGTAGGGCTCTAACCAGCTCTCTTTCGGGGATATCAGTTTCTTGCTGAATTTCCTAAAGAAAAATACATTAATTAGCTTGTGGCTACCACAGAAGTATCATGTTTTGCAAACAACATCAGGGATTGCTTAAATGTCCACCTTCAAGCGTGCAAAATAATACTGTGACAGTTGTGGGGCTTGAAAGGTTAGAACTCATTCAGCAGCAAAGTCTCAGTGTGTACTGTGCAAAACGATCCACCTGCCTCAATGCAGAGACAGTGAATTTTGTCAAATGAAGAGTCACCATAAGCTGAAGGAAGAATAATGAATAACCAGCTGTTTCATTTCCCTGTGATTTTTGAGAAGGCTGAAAGGATTTGTTAACTGTTCCCAGGGTTTGCTGAACAGGGTGAAACCTTCTAACTAACTAGTGAAGGAAAACATCCATGATGTTCTTGACAATTCCCGACCAAGAGCTGCATAAATGCTTTTGCATTCAGCCACTTGAAAATAAGATCTCTACAAATGGAAGCAAACCATGCCTAGTTTCACCATAACACAGAAATACTCTACATTCATTATACCTCCTTTCTGAATAACCTCAAATAATTTATTTACAGCCCAGATGCCCTTGGCCATGACTTCTCCAGGTGAAATACAAAAACCCCCATCACAGTGCAGCAAAATGAATGCTGAAGAAGACTGTTTGTAAAAAGATGTACATAACTTGGTGCACCTCTGTCAGTGTTCTTAAAAGCAGCAGTAACAAGTCCAAGTGAAGAACTGTAAAGAACTATAAACAACTTGTTAAAAGTTCTTTAAACAGCGACCAGAAAAATCAAACTAAGTTCTATCAAATAATGTTATTTCTTGAGTGTACTCAAGTTGTTTTTAAAATCAACCAAGGAAAAAAATGCTACTTTTCTGTTGTCATTCACCACTGACAATATGCAATAAAAATAATTTGGATCTGCTGGCCTAGACTTGGACTGTATCATGAATTACAGAGCACCTCATACACAACATCTCACCACCAGGTCTCTGTGATGCTGAGGCTCAGACACAACGTGCATTACTTTTCAACTAGACCCAACACTATATGTACAGTGATGACTTTACATGAAACCGGTTTTGACATGAGTTCAAAATAACTGGAATGAAATAAAATAAAATTACTAAGGTCAAAATTAAAAAAATTCAGGAATTTTGGTACCTCCTGTTTATGGATGATTGGGAAATAATAAAGGGTTCTTAAGAGTACACTTAGCATAAAGCATTCAGGAATATTTATACCACTTGAAATAAGTGATGTATATCCACATATCTTAACTATTTGCTAGTATGAAAATGCCTTTTCCCAAGCTGCTCACAGGAAGTTACTATTTGTTCCTTTGTTGCTTTATTTAAAACACTGTTGTCACTTTCACACATTTTTTTTCAGATTCAGTATGAAGCAGTATTAAGAAACCCCAAAAAACTATAATCCTTTACATGGTAACAACAAAAAGTCTTACTGAAATGGGTGGATCAGCATAAAATTTAACAAACCAAGGGAATGTGACAGATTTTAGGACTTAGATAAATGTAAAAGCCTTAAGGCCACAAACCAAACCCAGCTTTTTAGTGATGTAAAGCCTGTGACAAACAGGTTTCCAAACTTTGATTTCTGATCAACAGTTAAAATTAATCCTTTCAAAACTAAATCACTTCTACAAGGGAATATATATACTCTTCTTTTGGTGAAAGTGAATTAAAGAGCCAAAAGGGACCTTCTGAGGGGTTTTGATGCTGGCCATCCTTATATAGACCACTGTGTATTTCTGTTGTTGTACTTCACTCTCCAGCATTTCAACTCAGCCACTAACATGCAAACCATTTGGGTTTCAGAATTTATAACCCAGCATTAAAGTAAGAACCATGAAGAATTGCACTGCAATATGCTGCCTCAAAAGGAGCCAAAAAGTTGAAGTTGGATAAAAAAAAAAAAAGTAGCTATGAATGTAAATGGGGATAACAGATGTTCCTGTGCTCTCTCTTTCCTTCAGTCTGTAGCATAACGTTTTTCTAAACATATTTTTAAACAGATACGTGATGTAACAGTGAAAAATGCATACTTCTTCCCCATCTCCAAAAATGACTTCTTTTAAAGGCCACATTAGATTTGTGCACAGGAGCAGTACTGATTACTGATTACACAATCAGTGCTAAAAATATTACCAAGTGAGCTCTATTGGGAGGCTACCAAAGAAATCCCTCTAGGTATGGAATTGCCTCTGTCCAGTTCTACACAAGAAAAAAGGTTATTAGAAGGAAAATGTGCAGAAGGAAATCAGAAGGAAAAGCATTATGTAATTTTGTTGAAATAATAAAAAGTATTTTTAGAGTTTTATTTACAGGCTTCAACTTGTATCTCTTCCAAAGCAGACATTAGCAAAAGGGGAAACAGATAATCCAGTTTCAAGTACTAATCTCTAATTTTTGTGGAATTATTCAACAACCTAACTTCTACTACAGCCACATTGGTATATCTTGTTTGTTAAACATAAAGAACCAACCTTATTTTTGATATCATTACAAAAAAATGTGCATTTCACCATTTAAAATACCGAGCTGTAACTTAAACTAACAGAAAAATATATTGAGTATTATATGAGATTTGATTAGAAAAAAATGGATTCTTTGAAATAATTAGCATTCTTTCAAGGCTTGCATGAAGATCCTTCCTTTTCCATTTTAGTAGCATTAACTTAGACCCATAGGGTCACCAGCTATTTTGCATATACAAATAAAATGTTGCTCAATAGGAGTACAATAAATTCATACTTTTTTTGTGAAGGAATTTCTCTATGCAATAATCTTTTAAGTTTCCATAGCAATTGATGCATAATTTTTGCATCATCATTATCCCATTTTTCTCTCAATCACATGCCTTAATGGCTGTTAGGATTACTGTGAGGATCTTATCAAGTTTGCAATTAATAATCACACTGAATGCAAAATAAACCATCAAAGTGTGTTCAACTGTGAAGGCAACTTCAAATTAATCTGTTCAGCTGTGAATCTGCAGAAACACTTGTATATCAGACAGTTTTAGGCTTACACAAGCACACACCACAAGTCAGATCACATGGTGCATAGCAGTGAAAGCACCAGTTTGACATGACAGAGAAGTAATGGTTGCCCAGCACTCAGCACTTAATCACGGTATTCAATTATCAATGAACAAGATAAAATTCATTCTCTTCTTAAGTTTTCATAAGCTTTCCTGGCTGGAGTTAAAGACAACTCCTACACACTTCACCAAAGAAACAAACCAAACAAATATGCCTCCCTAATGTTTTAGTTACAGTGGGACACAAAGTAAGAGCTTAAGAACTCCCAAACCAGAAATAAACAAAACACACACAACTTAAAAGCAGGTGGACATATTTCTCTATCATCTGGTCTTAATAAAATAAACTATAACTTAGAGCATGTATTAAAATTTTTTCACTGCTCTACCAAGTATTATTTATTCATATATGGGTGAGGCTCTCCTACTCATAAAGCCTACAATTTGATGGAGTAAGGCAGCCTTCAGCTCAATTTCAAAACCAGCTTCAAGGGAAAAAAAAAGAGCTGTTAAGTCCCCCTCCTTGTTTTTGCTCCCTCATATATTCTGTAGAGAAAGTACTCAAAGCTATAATGCTCCTGAAGTAGATTTCACAACACACAGGACTTTGTGCTCTAAAATGATGGTTTTCTTAATTTATGAGTAGTTTCTTAAGAGTCTCTTATCAAATCCTCCCTTCCTTAATCCCATCTGAGACTTTCAAAGAAACTTTCTTTATTAAGAGGCTAGAAGTATGCCAAATAAGCTGAAAACAAAATCCAAACAAAAGGCAAATGATTACTATGCACTGCACAGCCAAAGTAGATGAGAAAACCTGGAAATCCACTCTGTTTCAAACTGCACCCATGCTGCTTTTCAAGGCTGCCAGTGCTCTCTTCAAGGGAATATAATGCTTGAAGTGAAACCATTAATTGACATTACCAATACAATGCTCAGATCTCATAGCACAGGATCCTCCTCTGCTTCTAAAGCCACCTTCATCATCCTCCATTAGCTGACACCTCAACCTTTCCCAGCAACACCCTTTTAGTCTCCTTGTTAAGAATCCATCTGGACCTTCTTCATTGTCCTTTCTGGCTAACCAGCTCAGAGAAGGGCTGAAAGTTCTTTGAACCACCCAGCCTGCCAGTTTAAGCACTTTGGTATTTAAGAAGCCAGGATACAAATCCTTCTCCACCCTTTGGCCTCTAAATGCAGTTTATCGAAGATAAAATGAGGAAATGGAGCCACCTGCTGCATTCCAACTTCAGCTTTTCTACAGCTTGATGGCCTAGAAATGACCACACTCACAACCCTCAAACACTTCTGAAAACTTGTGTTCCCAAATGGGTGCACTGCTAACGATCTGCTTCCTGCATTTATTGGCCTGATCCATACTCAAATAGAATGAGAGGCATCTGATCTTCAACAGTGTATTCCAGAGAACAAGAAAGTGCCTAAAACAGTCATTTAAAATGAGGTAAGACAACCACAACACTTACCTCAAATGTGTATTTTTCTCTGTTGTTAAAGAGCATTAATATTGTCATCTGGAAAGTGGAGACTTGCAATATGTGCTTCCGTGTATTTGAGCCAGTTACTTGGGCACCTCCTACGCCAACTTCTGAGCCATCTTCCTATTTTAAAATTCCAAAACTACTATTAGATTATTCTCCACTGAAAAACATTTTACCTTGATAAGATGAAAGTTACATGATGAAAAATTTATCCAGGAGATCAGTCTACACAAGAAATAGAACAGCATATGCCCAGGGGCATAAGCAGAATGTTCCTCCAGTAGCTGTCTTAGAACATCAGGGGGATTTAAGTTGGAGGCACCTCCTTAGGTCCTGTGGTCCAGCCATTACTCCAAGCCAGGCCATGTAGAGCCCTCAGTCACATAACTGAGCGTTGCCAAGGACAGAGTCTCTACCACCTCTCTGGCCTCTGTTTCAATACTTGCCCACCTCCAAGTTTTTTTACTCTTATCTTCAAAATTATCAAAATATTTATCTTACAGTAACACAATTTTAACATTCTCACAAATGTGCATTATTAATACTTTGTTATAAGAATTTTGTTTTTGTTTTGCACTGCCTTCTGCATTGCCAAACGTCATGCCACTGCTACCTCTAGCTTAGCACTTCAGAACTGCTATGAATCACTAGAAAATTATTTTCTTGCATACATACAAATTAAGCATTGTATTTCAAAAAACTCTGCTCAGATTCTTGTTTTTGAAAAAATGATGCCTACATTGCTAGCACTCTGCATATGAAAAGCAGGCTAAACTTGGCTTAACAAAAATAACTCTATAAAGAAACAAGTTTCTTTTCACTTTTGAGTCATTTACAGTCAAAAACCTCCAAACACTCAAACCACTGAGGTCCCTTCAAGACCAAATTTACTATTTTTCTACAAGATAAAAGGTGATCCTGAGTGATGCCTTCAAATGAGATTCAGAGAGGAAAAAGAAAAAGTTAAACCAAAACTGCTACAAAGGAAGAATCAGACCATAAGGCTGACAGAAGGCATCTTGTTAATGGGTAAGTTCTTATTTTACAAAATTCTGAAGTTATTAAAAATGTGCATTTGCTTACATAGATACAATATTTACACAACCTTGATACCTTACCTTTTTGACAGGCCCATAGAAAGTGGCATTGAGATCTGCAGAACCCATGTGATGCTGGAGTGTCAGCTGTCGCCCACTATGTTTGGCTAAATAAAATCTGTAATATAATTGAAAACAATACGTAGTTCACATTTGGTACTGAAAGCTTTAAAAAGTTATACAGACTTTTCATATCCATTAAAGACACTCTTAAGAAATTTCTTTTTGTTTTTTTTTTTTCAAAACATTAACTCTTGTTAGAATTTTACTTAAAATCTCCCAAAAACTTGAGCATCATAATGTGACTGTTGTATTCTCCAATTTTCACATGAACTGAAGAAAAGAGAATGCCAGCATGTTGCCAGCATACTGCCAACAGTACAACATATCTGTGAAGTTAAATCTAGAAGGTTTCTTCTTAAAACCTCTACCTAAAAATCTGTTTTAACACATACCTTCTAAATATTTCAAAAGCGTGTCTGGGAGCTGGAGGGATGTTACACTTTGGTGTGGCTGACTGGGTAGGCCAGTAACCTGTTGTGAGGACACGCACTGTAAGATCAACACCACCTAATGAGACCTAAGGACAATTGGAAGAAAACATACACCATTTTAAAATAGGACCACATTTCCTCACTTTTTGTTTTGGCACAGAATTTTCATAGACTATGAAAGAATTAGACATATATCTAGAAACATTATTTTTAGGAAGTCAGACAAATAAATTAATTCATCATTGTAAGAGTAGATGGTACAGCAAAATTCCTCCACATCATTCCCCTCTGGCAGTTAAGAGCACATAGAATTCAACAAAATAAATTCTTAAGCGACAAGAAAATATCTGTGATCATAAACAGAACTCATGGTATGTGTAACAAATCTCTCTGAATAGCTTTTGGATGACATGCAATAAAGCCAGGTTGCATGAAATGTGGCAGTTTCAAAGTAATTCTTTCTAAACTTACTCTGTGGAAGTAGAGAGTAAGTACTGGATATCTGGTGTTAAATCACACTTCTGGACTGCAATACAAACAGTTACTCACTTCTACACACACCACCTATCCTCTTTCCCTAAAGATAGCTATTACTATAAATATTCAGCACTGGTGAGCAAACATTCCACAAGTGAAGTGCTTTATTTTACCTATAAACTAGATGCATTAGCAGGTGATAAAGACCCAGCTACCAGAGAGGCATAACCCTCACTAGGTATCTCAACTAAGTTGAGCATTATTTAAACTGTCTATTTTCAGCTCTAGGAGGTATAACCAATATCTTCAAAGAACACACATTAAGGACAAGAAAAAACAGAGCATACAATATCCAACTTATATAAACTTACTACACAGAAACAGAGCACATTATATTTTAGAAGGTCAAAACCTGAACTCAGAAACTTCTATCCAACAGCAGAGAAGCATTTCCATGCACTATGGAAGAGTTTTTGTACTGTGCATGTTGAATGCCTGTGTGCATCAACCACCTTGTGCCCAGGAAACTTCTAAAAAACCTAAACAAATCAATGACAGACTACTCCTACAGAAACCCCTGGGACTGAAAGGAACAATTTGCAGAAGTATGTAAAGATCCAGCTAAGGGTTCTTCTGTAGCCAACACCACTGCCATCCTTCTAATTTCATATCACCAATGTTATGAGGCTCATAAGAGAAGTTCAAACAGCCATTTAGACACAGAAAACTAGTTAATTTGTCAATTATCTAATTAAAAAAAAAAAAGAAGGAGCCTCAACAGCTTTCTTCTAGCCAAAGCACAGGGAAAGGCCATCAGTGCAGACAGGATACAGAAAATATATTTATCTGGAACTGAAGCATCTTAGGTGAGATGGCAACTGTTTCCCAAACTCTTTTGGCCTTAGCCAGACTGGAACACAGCAATAATTTAGAATGCCTCACATCATACATTGTACAGAGCACTGAAAAAGTTTTGGAAGCACTTTATTTTACAACATGTCTTTTCAGCATAAAAATGGTACAAACTAGTAGAAAGTGCCCTGAAGGGATCTGATCTTTACAGGACTCCAAGAAATGTTTCAGGATCACAGTTGTAGAAATTACTCATAGTCTATGAGCCTGGACCTTCCCTAATGCTGAGCTTTCCACTTACTGCTGGCAAACCAATCATCTACACAGAATTTGGCACTGCTTGTATCTCAGGAAATAGGATCCAGCAGGAAACTTTGCAGGTAGGATTATTTAGAGAAAAGCAGCTGCCTGACTCCTCTAGGAGATGCCGTACACATTCAAGGTACACAAATTGTTTAAAAAGAAATAGAACAGACTATTCCATATAAAACACAGTATCAACAGCAAGTTAACAGTAACACAACCCCTCCCAATCATCCTGTTTCTATTTCCTCTCAAATATTATTGACCTACAAAGAAATATATATGCTTCTGTCATAAATAAGTACTCCAGAAATTTCATTAAAAGGCCATGATTAGGTTGACCAAAAGGCAACCATCACATCAACTCCTGGTCTCTTGCCAAGAAAAAGATGAAGTTTCAAGTAAGGCCTAGCAGGACATCTGTTAACATTTTAAATTCATCTTATTAGCTGTATGCAGCTAAAAAGAAGATACAGATATCATTTATTAACTCAATCTAAGACTGTCATGTAAAGTACATAAATCTTTAACACAACCCCCACCCCATGTCCGAGTCTGGCATGCTACCTAAAAAATGGGAATGCTCTTACAATTTTTTCTTCAAATTTGTATTTCAAGCATTCTAGAAGGAAAACATGACTAACCTCTAAAGAAAAAAAAAAAGCAGCAGTAAGACTTCCTGTCCACAAACACTTTTATAACTATTGAAATCCTCTACAACCTTTTCTGAAGCCACTTTGAGAACATGCTGTGCCCTCACTCAGGATGATTCACAGTATGCTGATGAAGAAGATTTCCATTGAGGGCTTCAGGAAGGCAAAGATTTCATATCACCTTGCACAGCCAGGGACATTGGACAGAGTACAGCCACAAACATATTCCTGGCATTCACTTCTGAAACTGATTCAAACATGCTTGATGTACAGATCTACTTACCTGCAGACAAGCCTGTTTATTATATATTATTAAGCTCTACTGTGTATCAGTATAAAAAAAGTGTTTTAGAGCAAGTGAACTGATATCCCAATAGAAGTGATCTCTCCTTTATGCAGTATTCCAGAGGCCCACTTTTACTACAAGGCGAAATTTTTTCTGAACGAGCAACTAAGTCCATATTTGCAATTTGAATAAAATGGCAGCTTTGCTTTAGCAAAGGCATTCATTGCATGGGGGAAGTTAAACATCAGACGGCGTTTGCGCGCCGTCAGCATGTGATATTTTTCTTGCTGTTAGAAAGAAATTACAAGTCACAATGGAGATCAGCTTTGAAGGAGGAACACAGCAGTTGGGAAGCGCAGCCGGGGGCGGGCAGTTGGCCCCGGAGAGCAGGCAGCGCTGGACAGGGCGGGCACCGGAAGGGCGGGCACTGGGGGCGGCACGCTGGGCAGGGCGGGCCAGCTGGGAGAGGGCGGGCACCCGCCGGGGCAGAGGCGGCACCGCTGGACGGGACGGGCGCTGGACGGGGTGGACACCGCTGGGGGGGCACCGCTGCGGGCGGGCCACCGCTGACAGAGGCGGGCACGCTGGGCAGAGGCGGCACCGCTGGACGGGGCGGGCACCGCTGGACAAGAGGCGGGCACGCTGGCAGAGCGGGCACCGACTGGACGGGGCGGGCCCGCTGGACGGGGCGGGCACTGGGGGGAAGAGCGAGGGGGCACGCTGGGCAGGGGCGGGCACCGCGTGGAAGGGGACGGGCACCGCTGGACAGAGCGGCCCCCGCGCTCCCTCTGGCGGTCTCCGTCGGGCAGAGCCGCCGCGCCCCCACCGCCCCTGCAGCTTGGGCACAACAGCAGCTCAAACGGGGCTTTAGGGAACGAAACTGCCGCTGCTCGAGCTGTGTGCGTCAAGCTTGGAACCGGCTTCAGCATTTTGGGAAACGCTATTGTAGTTTGTAAGGGAAGAAACACAGTAAAAGGAACGTGATTTCCACAAGCTGACAAAATCCTTCTCTGCAGATGCATGGAATAACAAATGAAAAACCAGAAACCTCGACAGAAGCTCAGGGTTTGTACTGAGCTAAAAGGACAAGCACACAGACCCCCGGGGACACTCTTACCCCTGTCGCCTGAAGATGTTGCCTGAACTCATCCATCGTTGTATTTGAGATGCTCATGTCCCTGAACATTCCTTCCAGTTTAGATGTGAACTGACATCCACATTCAGTCTGAAAATACACAAAATAACTTGTTGTACCAGCACTATGAAAACAAAGCTTCTGATATGCAAACTGCAAGACTGAGAGTAAGTTTATAAAACTCAAAAACTGAATTTCTGTACATTTTGTTACTGGGATTTCCATTTGCATTATATTCAGATCTTTTAGAAAAGTTTCATATCTTATATAAGGATCTAACCCTACACCGATCAAAACCTGTTTTCCTTCTCTTTTCTCCATTATTGTATTTTTTATTTCGTTTTAGCTTTCCATCTCATATTTAAAAATCTGTGAAAGCTTATCAAAATAAGATATACACTTCCACCTGCCTTTTAGCATTATACTGTAAAGAGAAATATACTTTATTTATATCAGAAGCAAGCTCCTGCTGTTCTAGGAGTGTTTTGTTTTAAAGGCTGGCTGCAGATCACCCAGTGAGATTACCAGGCCTTTTGAGGATCAGGGACATGCACACAGACACAGCATCCTGATCACTCTGCAATTCCATAAGAAGAGAGGGCAGTTCAGGTTCACTGACTCATCTGGCAAATGTATGCCCTGTGCCCTCTAAATCACCAGGATAAAAGTGGTGGAGAGGTAATCAGAAAGGAATTAACACTGACAATTTGGAGAAATCTGATGCACACAGGTTTTGCTCACTGACAGAATATATGCCAAAAATGAGGATCAGTGATTTTTGATTTTGGGATCAGATCCCTCTGGTTCAGAAGTTCTCTAGCCATTTATCATGCAACTTAAGAGGAAGCTGCATTAGAACTTGCTTCAAGGACTTTTCCGCTTGAGGCTTTACCTTCTTCTCCATCTCTTGGCCTATTTAATCAGTACATTTAACCAACTGATATGAAGGTTTTTTTTCAATCTATCTCAAACTACTTAATCAAGGACAAATAGAGCATTAACACCAGTCTGCTGATGGAGGCAACTAAAAAACAACAACAGAAGCAGCAACAAAATTCTACTGTGAATAACAAAAAATCTAGGATAAAACATAGCATTATCTTCAAATTCAGTCACTGGAGTTGTCCTCTTATTTGGAAAGTCTTAACAAGTTTCCAAAAAAATTATTTTGTTTTCTAGATTGCACTTTTCATCACAGGTGTTCACCATTACTTACTTCCTTTTATTTCCACGAAATTAGTCAGAAAAACCTTTTGTATTTTCTGCTGGGGCTTTAAAAATCAACTCTGCGTCTAACAGCAATCAAGATTAACATTACCTATAAATCTCTTATGTAAAAACAGAAGAAACCATATCTATGACTAATAAAAAAGAAAGAGAAAAAAAACCCCTAAAAAGTATGCAGGTACCGTCTTACCTTTAATTTGGATATCATGTTTTTCTCAGAGTCATCTGAAACACTCTTGTTCGTGAGAAGTCTTCTTGCCAAGTGCTGCTTGTAATAGCGTTCAAAAACATCTTTCTCTTGCATAAACCTGAATAAAACCATTGCCTTATCCAATATAGTTTCTACTTCTTGCTCTGTTAGCTGTAAAACAAATAATTTGCTGGTTTTAATCTTCCAGCACAAGTGTCTTACACAACCCAAACACTTACAGTAATTCACAGCAGCAGATGGTCTAACAGTAGCCTACACAGAAGCCAACAAAACTGGTCCAACATGAGATCGACAGCCAAAAGAACGGTGCCCAAACTCAATAAAGTGGAGTAAGAAATAGACTTACATAGACTTCTCTCTCAAGAGAGAAGGGAAACAATAAATGGGTAGAATGCCTTGATAAACATAGTAAAAGTTCCTGGGTAAGTTTTAAAAAGCACCGAAGGAAATCACTATTAGGAGTATGAAAGGTTAGCTTGGAATGAAACCTTTTAAGACTTGTTTTGTAAAGCCCACCTAGTGCCAGAACAAATAGAATTATTACTTATTTTATAAATGAACAGAATTTACCATTTGATTCCCAAAGCATAAATTGCATGCACTAATATTCAGCTTTATTCAGAGCCACTGAAGCCTCAGATGAACCATCTTGTCCAGTTCTGGGTTCTGTACCTCAAAAAATCTCATGAAAGAAGCTAACTCTGAAGGACACAGCTCTACTTAAACTAGAAGAGACAGATAATAGTCCTCTGTATATAAAAACAGTAAAAAGAAGCAAAGACAAACCATTTCCCCATACCAAGTAAGTTAATTTTAAAAAGAAATTACTAGATATTGGGAATAGCTGCCAAAATATCAATATATTTAAGGAAATGATACTTAAGGTTTCAAAAGAAGGGAGCTGCAGAATCTACTACTACCTAAGATTTTTGAGGGAGTATCTGCCAGAAGTAATTCACATATGTTGCTTCAGAGGTAGGTGATAAGCCACACAGATCTCCTTGTGTCTGATTTTTCTGTTTAGATCTAAAGTGTTGTGAGCTCAGATGTGTTACATAATACTTTTTTTAGCTAGTATTGCCATTTCTCTTAATATAAAAATAATTCATAAAAATGTAGCTTAGTTTAATTTCATCCCAGTTTACACAGCAAAGGGCATGGTATTACAAGTTCATTCATACTTACTCCCTTGACTCCCTTTTTCAGCTTATCATCAATAAATAATGAGAGGTACTCTGGAGACCTGGAGTTGAGGTTGAGGAAGTACTCAAAGTCACCCGCAATAGTCTGTTTGAAGAGCCGATCGTTATTGAAAGATTCTTGAAGGAAGCGATCAAACCTACTCTTCAAATCCAGTAAACCCTTAAAAAAAGAAAAAAGAAAAACCATTTTCACTGATATGAAGTTGTAAGCTGGAAAACAGTAACAACTGACAGAGAAGACCAGATCTACAGAGATTCTGCAATGCTCTGCGTTCGTTAGAAAGTACTGGAAATTTAATTTCCATTTTTAAATTTCTGTTGCTGCCATAAATATATCTTAGGCAATTTTCAGATAAATTTGCTAAAATACTGGTATCAAATACTGGTGCAGTTTGCTATAATACACTTCTCACACTAAGAAATGTTTTTAAACACCCTTGGTAAACAGGTTGATGTACTGCATTTTTAAATCTAAAACTTAAAGGAGGTATTTGTTGCACTTGTTAAGCCTTGTCTATGTCAAGCAACATTGACAAAGTCACTACCATAAATAAAGGATATGTGAAAGCTGAAGCTAAGCACCCACCAACTGCATCCCTAGAGCTACTGAACAAGTCTGAGGAGAAAACACACTGCAACAACAGGCCTAAACTTGTCAGGGCTTTTCCCCCCCTCTAATTTAATCCAGGGATGTATTTTGCATGATTTAGTCACATGTTTCTTGCTGACCTTTAAGAGTCACTGTGAGCATATGAAAGGTAGATATAAGCAATAGCTCTCCAGTTGTCACAGTGTGAAGTACACAGGCCTGCACTGAACAACTTCCTCTGAGCTAAATCATCGGACTCTTAACATAATTTTTATTCAGAGCTAAAGCAACGGAGTGTAGAAGGGGGAAGCATCTTAAAATCATCTGAGCACTTATATGACACACACAGGGTTTAGACATAACTAAGACAGCATTTGGCAAGGAGAGAAAATTTCACTTGAAATTTAGATTTGTCACGAATAACAATTGCCCACAAAAACTGTCCAGGTTAAATGACACTAAAGCTCTCAGTTTCTTAAGAAATTATTCATATGTGGTTACTTAAAGAAGCCATTCAAGAATTACTCAAAGAAGTAGTAACATTTCTTAGGAACTCACCATCTCACTTAAAGGAATGGCCTTTAGACAGGCTAATTAATGTGTATTAGAAATTTTAAATTCAAAGTAAATCCCACTATCTCTCTGTTTACCAAGGTTAGCTTATGTCTCCTCTCCAGGAGTACACCATCTGAACAACCTGGTGTTAAACAGGAGAAACTGTTAGTACCTTAAATTGAAACAGCATTTCAACATCCCTTCAAACTATTATATGAAGTTTAAACCTAATCCTCTGGCAATGCTTTTGCAACCATCTCGCCAATTCTGCTCAGGGTTTAGTGATGTCATGTTGCAGAAGCAGTGCTGAGCTATGATGAATGTTTTTTTCTTGATGCAGCTTCCATGTCTGTTTTCTTATTGCTATTGTCCTTGAAAGATTCAGCTGAACACGGCCAAGATGAGAAGTACAAGATGGTTTCTCAATTCACAGGTGTTTCTCTCTTCTTCCATCACCTCAGTGGAAGTGATAAACCTGTCTGGGGGTTTATCAGCAATTGAATATCAACCCCACCCTAGGACATCTTCCTGAGATGGCTGGGGTACATACTAAGGGCTGAGCTCTGCCAAAGCATGTGGGACACAGCTGCCAGTCCTCCTCAGCTTCATTATGCTGTTTGCCTCTGTAGCAGGAAACCTTGATACCGTCTTTAAGTTTATAAATCTTTCCCTGTTAAATTTTTTATGATACCTCTTTAGGCCCATTAGGAGTGAAAACTACTTCAAAGTACTTATTCTCCACATCATTTGAGCCCCTCCTCTCTTTTTTAAATTGTACCACCACAAACATAACAGCCCTTAATCATTTACCCAAATAAATTTCAAAGGATATTCTCTCTGCTTTTTAACAGTCCTTGAAGAGGTAATTCTTGTTCAAATCTGGTAAGAAGTTTGCTTCAGCATTGCCAGAAAATTATTAATCCAATCAAAAATGTTTTTATACTCAAATGGCTTCTTCAAATAGTAACCAGTTCTAACAGTTATTGTTTTCAAACAAAACAGCAGAGATTAACAGACATACATTAAATGTTTCTCATAAAGAACAGACACAAGGACTTCAACTAGACATTTTAAAAAACCCTCAAACTTAATGTTTAATGAATATACATGTTCAGATTAAATATAAGACATCTTCCAGCTACAGAAACATATCCCTAAAGTTCAACGAACTCTTAAAATTTTATGTGCAAATTTAAATCCATCTTTCCAGAAACAATGGAAAAGATGACAAATACTCCTGAAGCATATTTTGTGATCTGGATGAATGAATGGTACCCATCACTTAGTGAGAGATGGAGAACAAGAAAGAACACTCACATCTTTTAACATGCTGATGTGTTCTGTTTCTCAGAGAGACTGAGAACGAAGAAGTAATTTGTTATGACTGATAAACACATTTACCTCTCAATCACAGCTAATCTTGCCATGAAATATTGCCATGTGATTTTTGTCTCAACAAACACTGATAGCTAGTGTTACATAAAATTAATTAAAATGGACACTATAAAGCTACTTGCCAGCACACATAGAACTCACTCTGGAGACATATCATTTAGGGTAATCTAAGAAGGTCCCAGTAGTTAGATAATTAGCCTGAATATGTTGTTTAATATAAGCAGCTACCAAAAACTGAGCATGTACTTTCCAAGCAATTTCAGCCAGAGTTCTAAACATGTCTGAAAATTCAGAAAACATACATTTTAAAAAAAATTTTAAATTTAGCTTATTAATAACAATGCCTTTTGAATTGATATTAAGGTTTACCTTATAAACTGTGTTTGTGGTGAACTGCTACTGTGAGGAATGTGGGAAAGATGAAAGAAAAAGTTAAAATATTTAACTACCTGAATATAGTCAACTGGATTCTTTCCTTCTCCCTCTTCAGAAACTAGTGCTTTGCCCTGCTCTCGCAGGTATGAGCTCATGCACTCACACATCGTCTTCAGACCATTTGGCACACGGCTGAACAACTTGTACATGCAAGCAAGGTCTGGAATCAAGAATGAGAGATTATGCAGGACACCTCTTGTGTTACATGTGTGTAACTCATTCATCTCAGAGCAAAAGATGACAATAAAAGACCCACCTAAAATAATGAGAAGTGGCTTAGGCTAAACATGGCTTTCCAAAAGAGCAATCCATCCTCGCACATTTATGCAAAATCTTATCATAATGCAGCAAGTATTTCCACTCTACTATTTAACTCAATCAAACTAAGGCCTATAAAAGTTAAACTAATTTCTATAGCTTATGAACACCCTTCAATATCTTGCACCCTCAGCCTGAAGGCTATCTAAACTGGATATTAAAGAAAAAAAAATGTTAAGTATGGTATCATCACGTTCCTTTTCAATACAGTAACTATCTTTTCTTACAGATAGGAAATGTGCTCACCCTGTCGCTCTATCACCTAGTAATTGTGAAGCTGCTTTAATGAACAAAGGCCATTAATCTAAGCAGCAAGTCTGTTCCCCGTTCTCATGGCTTTAGTGTGAGCACCAATTTCTAAATACAGATACTACAATCCCTCTCTTCATTATGCTGCTTTAGAAACTTATGTTCTATTTCTTTCCATAGTAACTTTCATTCAGTCACTCTGTCCCACATTAACCTCTATTAGGGAAAACCAAATCAAGTCAAGCCCTTTTTTTTCAACCAGTTCAATAAGCTGCTTCTTATCCTTTAAAAACAGCCAACTCCTTCCTGCAACAATGTTCTCTCCACAAGAATTGGTCCTGCAATGCTTCTGTTTGTCTTTTACACAAGTACTTTTTAGAATAACTGCCTGTGGGCCAAAAAAAATTCATGTATTTTGACAGATTATATACTAGAGGAATGGAAGTAATAAAATGGCTCATGTAAAACTGGTAACAAAGACTACTGCAACTGATTTGTACTTTTTTTATGAGATACCTGGTTTAACCAAAAAAAGTACCTGTGACTGATACTAAATAGAATCAAGTTAAGCATATAGTCTCTGTTTTAAGAGCCCTCTAAAAGGCTGAAGTAATATTCTCAGATGTTTGCAGAACAGAGCCACCAAAGTGTTTTCACAATTACACAGGAACACAATCATTAAGCTTGACTTATCCCATGTTTAAAAACAATAAGCAGTATCATAAACATTTCTGTCTCCCACATGACCCAGTCTTACCTTCTGTCTTCCCATTTTTCAGCATATGAACTAGCCCAGAGTTCTCCATTTCCACTATAGTTTTCATATGTTTGGAAATAAGTTCCCTCTCAACAACTTTCACAATAGGTTCTTCTGTTGATTTATCCAGACAATGCATCACCCGTTCTATTTCTTCATTAATTCTAGCTTCTACTTTCTTTATATATACAGAAGCACTGTTTTCAGCTAAAAATTTTTGACTTTCCATCTGTGATTAACACAAATTAATACTTTAGACTTTTTTTTTAAAGAGAAAAAGAAAACATACTAGTTATGTCAGATCAGCATTTATAAGCAAGTTCAAATCAAACACAGCATGTCCAACACATTATACACCCAAGATTTACGTACACACTTAACACAAAATGAAGGTTCTATTATGCTAAATGTGTTACATAAGGGGATACATGCAATATAAACAAGGTCTATATTTTTCATCCTAAGCCAGCCTAGTTTCCAGTTACCAACCAGAGTTTTAGCCACAGGTCCAAAGAAAACAGAACGATGGGGAGAGAGAAGAGGCAAAAATTCCTTTCAAATACCAGTTTATGTCAGTTGTCATCATTCTCATTAGTGACAATGCTAAGCACATTATTTCATGTCAAACTGTTTTTATCCATACTGGTCAGTCTTTTGGTGAAAAGATGTGTTTTTTTTTTTTTGTTTTGTTTTTTTTATTTTATTTATTTTTAAGGCAGAGCTAAGAAATGGAACTTAAATGAAAGTAATGAGTTTTCTTAAATTTATGTAGCATCAAAGAAAACCAGTACACACTGACATTTAAATGGTTGTACAACATATGATTCAGCTTTTCAAAACAGGTTGGAGATCAGAGCATACAACAGTCAGTCAGTTGATCCTGGATAAGAATTGGGAGACTGACAAATTATCTCATCTAGATATCTTTTAACATGCTCTTAAAATTTATAACAATTTCCAGCAAGATGAACATGATTACACTCAAAAAGCAATCAACTGGCTTTCCTTCTCAAAGTATCTCACAAAAAAACCTCAGGGAATATTTAAAATGTGTTATTTGGTGGCTGATCAACAACTGGAGAGCCACTTGCTTACACTTAATTCCTTGACTCAGTTCATTTTATCACAAAAAATAGCTCACAAATGTAGATACTATGAAGGAAAAAGCTTCCTCCAAGGCAGTTTGACAGGTTTCCCAGCCTGAAATAGTTTGAACCTTTCATGCTACTGGTATTTCAAAAAGACTGTGGGGGCAATGCAGGGGTAGACTCAGTTGCATGAAATAGCCTAAAGCAGCAGGCACAAGATTAGCATAATGATTACTTCACATGTTATTGGCACCCACAGCTCAAAACTACATTCAAATTATGCTAATTCTGTAGAATCTGTGTTACTTTTCCCCTGCAAAGCTAGTCCTTATTTTTCTTATTTAATTTAATGGATATGGACATACTCATCAAATAAGCAACAAGTATTTAAAGCACCATCAATTCTCACAATTCCAGGGAGTTACAACAACATTCCAAACACGAGATTAGAACACTGCCATACCTGAAAAAATTCTGCAGACATCTCCAAAAATGGAGCCTCAAAGTCTTCTTCATAGACTGACCTTCCTTCAAGACCTAGAATCATTAACATCTGGCAAGCATTTCTTATTGCGCCTCTGCCAAAAAGTAAGTTGTTAACAACTTGAGAAATCAACAGGCTTGTAAAACAGAGTAGACAGCAGAATAACAACTTGTAACATGATATTAAATAAAATATAGTAATAGCAAGTCCATTCTAAATCTGTTTTGATACATGACACGTTTTCAAGAAAATTATACCAGCAACATCGTTTGGTTTTGTTCAAAACTAAAGAGCTGATAAGGTTTATTAAATATTTTAAATGCAGTGATAGGGAAGCAGGTCTCAAGTTCTACTAGTTTGCAAGACTGAAGAGTATGTTTCAATATACAAGAAAATAAACCAAAATACTGCTTCAAAGAAAACTGCATGTGTAGGTCAGAACTGAGCAATTTAAAATAATTGCACGCATGGAATTTGCTGTGCAAAGTTTAAGTATTTTTTGTTGGTTGGTTGTTTAATAAAAACCAAAACACCCCCCCAGCCAAACACAAAATAAACCCCACCAAAATAAAAATGTATCAGCAAGTTAATGAAAACAAAGGAACTGCATCCAGAAAAAAAATTCCACTTCCCGGCAGTAGGGGACAATACACAGCTGTAGTCAGGGAGTATTCTTTCTCTTCAGAAATTGCATGTTGGGCAATCTCAGTCACAGAACTGCAGCCAAAGTAGCAAGGATTTTACACATCCCCACACCCAACAGCTGTTCTGAAACTGGAGAAGCACAAGAAAACTTGCAAATTTGAAGTCCCTTCAGCTGCAGTATCTGCAGTGTGTGGCACAAAACTCCACATCTAAACTTGCCAGAGAAGCTGTGAAACAGATTTAAAAGCTCAGAGATGCAACTCACCTACCAAGAAACAAATGGATCGAAAGGAAAAGGAATTGGAATTAAAAGAGGAAATGTAATAAAAAAAATAAATAAATAGGTACCAAAAAATTAAACAACCTCTCAGTACAGAGAAAACACACAATAGCAAACAAGAGGCAGAGAATTGTCAAAACTTTGCTTTATAACTAAACACTTCAGCACACTGTGGTAATGGAGACATTTAATAAAAGTTTAAATAAAAACCACGTGATAAATATTAAAAAAATGTATTAACAAGCTTCCCCATTTACCACTATGCTAAAACTTAATGTACGAGAAATATTTCAGATTATGGACAAATCCGAATGGTGCAGCCTTAAGCCTAATTAATTGTTTCTGTATGTTCTTGACTCACTCATCATTTATAACTAAAGACAGTCACTTACAAACATCTTACCTGTCTACAACTTCTCCTTTCCTTTCTCTTGCAATCATGTCCAGCAGAGTTTGCCGCAGGTGATCCCTAATGCAGCCGTAGCGAACTACCTGATCTCGAAAAATAATCAAGCCCAGATTGTAGACGTTCTCCACATTATTTTGTTGCACATACACACGGTCCTGCAAAGGCACACACAGCAATAAAACTTGTAAATTCAGTGTATCTGTGCTATTCAAAAATAAAAGAGATCGATTATTTCTGTACAGTGCCTTTCTTGGTAGAAAAAAATTATGAATACCCTCAAAATTCAAAACCAGTCCCCCCGTTTTCCAAAACTTCATTTACACTGCAAGTCTACTGCTAAAGCATGGCAGAACAAATCTACAGCCTTGACACTTTTTAGTCTGGGTGCAGAGGAACCTCCAACTACTGACAAAATTCAGGGCACAATCTGAAAGAGGTCTTACTTACCTACTCAAGTCCCTTCTATCCACCCCTTTCTGATCTTAATTCATTTTCCTAAAATTTTTCCCCACCTCCCCATGCATCTTCCTACCTCTCCTTTTAGGCAACCAAAATGCAATATTCAGTGACTTCTCCTGAAAGAGCATCATTAGATGAACAGAAGAAAAAGTAAAGCCAAAATGAGAAGAGCTGCAATCACAATCTTTGTGGATTGGTACTGCAAAATTGTACAGAAGGACGGACTTCTGTTGACACCCTTCCCTCCCATGAAAAAAAATTCACTTTCATTCAACTTGAGGAAATGTTATTTTTCATTATAATTGCACACATACACAAACACTCAAAAAAGAAAAGAATGGCAAAAGAAGAATATTTTTTTGTTTCAATATGGGTTTAAATTCCATCTCCCTACATAATCTCAGTCTATAGGAATGATCAAGTTCCTCAGCTATCTACTTTTTTATCCACCTATATTTACAAACTGACACTGATCCTCAGATCAGCATTCCAAGACCTCATAGCCCAAAATCCATCGTATGGAGTTGACTGAGACATTACTGAGCAGATCCTGAGTTTCTTATTGCCACCCACAGAAGGGCTCCAGAAATTTGTCTCCCCTTTCCTATTCCTCTCTCCCAACTCCTCAATTCTCTAGAAAAGGAAGGTTATTAATAAAGTTACTAGTAGACAGAAAATGCATGCATTTGCTTAATAGTCACTAGTGCTGTACCAGGTAAGACCCATCAAAACAACATTGAGTAGAAAAATGGTGAGCTTTTACAACCTTTTTCTGAGATGAGCAATAATTATTTTTCTTCATTTCTGTCAGGGAATAATCCATTCCTCTAAAATCATAGCTTGAGTAATTACTAAAAATACTGTTTTGCTACCATTTAAGCATCAGGACAATGATATTAGAAAAAGTTAGAGTTTTGTACCCACTCATAAATCTGACTGGGATATGGTTTTCTGAGAATGTACATAGCTATAACAACATAATAATAAAAAAATCAAATTCTGTAAAGGATGAAGGTCAATGTTTGAAATTGCGTATAAAGATCAGCTTCTCCACTGGTTCTGTCAACTATCTTAAGAGTTTTATCACACTCAGTATTGAAGAGTAAAGCTACTCAAACACCTAGAAAATGAAACCATTAAAAGAACAAATGTTATGCTTCAGACTATGGAAAACAGATTACAAAATCACAAGTTTATATAAATTCCACAATTACAAAAAATCAGAAGGAAAAGACAGCACACAGTTTAGCAGCTGAACTTACATGGTGAAGTTTTTATATATTAATTATGTGCCAGATTGCCACTTGGTGACCAGAGGAAAGCAAAACACTGGGTTCTGCTATTAATGAATGATTTCCCACTCTCTCCCTTCAGACAGGCAGCAGCTCATTTAAATGAAAAAAACAAGCTGGGAACAGGTCAGATATCCCTTCTCTGTGGCTCGTGAAGGAAGCCCAATTCTGCCTCAAAGCAAAATGTTTACTAGTTGGTCTCATGAAGTTAGTTTAGTGATACATGGTGGTCTGGGTCTTTGGAATATGTACTTCATTTTTCATTATTTACAAACAAGGTTGTTTATTTCACTTCCTTATTTACACACTTGCATCAAGAACAGAAGTAAATGGGATTCTCAAGTAAGACAGGTTTAAAATATATTTTCAAAGAGATGAAAGAGTAAATTAAAAAGTAACATCTGATATACTATGTGACTTGAGGAGAAAAGAATATATCATTCCCCAAAAATATTCAGGCCTCTAAAGCACAGGCAGCAGGGTATCTAAAAGGATTAAAGCCATGACTCATCTGCATAGCTTCTGTTGTGGCAGTGCTAAACAGTGCCATCACAAAATAGTAACTGCACTAGAAACTCCTCTCAGTGTATCAGCATGCCTCTGTAGTAAGCCAGACCACTCTACAATACCCAAACCAGAGCAGCAACATTAACATTTCTGATACTGCTGATTTGCTCGCCCTTGGTAACAGATCACATTTACTGTTTACTGGAAGCTCTCCCAATCCAAAAAAAGTAATCATAGAGAGAAAGCCCCAGTGGGGAACAGGTTTGACTGATGAGGCTACACACACTACTGCACAGCAATCACCTCCCACAGGGAGAAGCAGCAGGTTATTAAAGGTAAGAGTAACTTTTAGAAGACAAGGGTGGAGTTTCAGACAGCAATTATTCATAAACTACAGTCCTGCTTATACTGCAGAATTCTGATCTGAACTAAAGTTACCTACTGTAAAATATCACCAGCCACGTTTTGCCCATCTCTGCAAACTACCTGGATGCTGCAGCCTTCAGACACCCTTGACTATGTATATATAGTAAGTGTCTTTGATGCTAGTTCTGGAAATAAAAACAACAATTTCTCCTTTTTACCTTGTGTGTAAGGTATGGACAGTAAGAGACACATGCCCTGAGGTCAAAACTCACATATCCAATCTGTCAGTGCTGGCTTAAAAAAAAAGACACCATCTTAGTGCACAGCACGGATGAGAAGGGAATCCTCTGCCCCCTGAAAAATACACAGTTGTATTTGCAGGAGCAATTGTTCATTTCTGATGGTGTGTAACTGGCACTGCCCATATGCCTATAACACAGCCAGGGGTGTGACTGCTGCACTCACACACCTGAAATTGCTTTAAATTTAGCAAGTACAAGTAATAGAGAAGGAACACCACAGAATCCAGTTTAACCCAGTTTCCATTACACATTCTAAGAATGGTCTTCAGTGTTGCTTGAAGACCAAACAACTGCACCTCCACTGCTCCCATAACATACAGCAGTTAAATAAACCCACTGTGGACATGCTTACACTGCTGCTGTGAGGCTGAATTTCAGCTATGCCCAACTGTAGTGCATCACTTCAGTGCTTCAACAGTACGTGCCTGACTCAGCAAAGATGCTACTTAGAACATGACTTGGGTGCTTTGGTGCCTCACTGCTCACTGCAGACAGTGCCATGAAGTTATGGAGAGTATTACACCTACTCTGGCACTGATTATTGTAGCCTAAACATGCAAAGCAAAAGGAAGAGAGCTAGTGCTGTATCCTACAACATACACTGGAACTGCATAAACTTGAAATTCAGTCGTGGAAACTGGAATGTCTCAATAAAGTCACGACACATCTTTACTATGCAAAAGGTTACAAAACCTCACACTACACCTACAACAGACCTGAAACCAACAGACTTTTCACAAGAGAGTATCACAAGAGACAAGGTAATTTAGTGCTGGTGGAAGAGGTTCTGCACATACAATGAAATCCTGCCATAAACCTCAAACAGCAAGTATTCTAGTCATTAAGTATCATAATGCAGAAACCCCAATGTGCAAAACTCATGCCTTTCTAAAAAAGATCTATTTGAATTTATTTTTATTTCAAAAGTAGAAAAATTAAATAGGGGAAAGAAATTAAGGTGGGTTGGAGAGGGGTTTGTTTTGACTTAAATCATATGACAGCCAATGGGTGAAACAAAGCTGGAAAACAAATGTGGCATTAAAACAGTTAGAGTTTAGTTTAAGATGTACAATCACTAGGCTGAAGTAAGAATTTAAGAGAGTAAGACCAGAATTCAAGAGGATGTTAAATGTTTTACTTTCACTGATGTCACATGGTCTGTTGGGCAATAGGTACATTTCCTGAAAGTGATGGGTAATTGAGATGGCCTACAAAATAAGAGAGGGATTGGGTTATGCTTTACTTACAAACATATGAGAATTGCATATACTTCTCCTGGTAGAACACAAGCATATCAATTAACAGTGCCTGGTGACTGAGTTTATACACTGTTTGGTTTTTTTAGAGAAAATATTTTTCATGTAGCTATAGACAACTTCTGACATAAGGATATCACTATAATCCTACATGTCACTCAGACTCAACATCATAAAAGAACAAATCATCCCTTATTTTATGAAGTTCTTGAAAATTGTTTCTTTGAAGAGCAGTCAGGTCTCATCTTTCACAGGTGTTCCATCACTGTATGATTTTGTGGCCCTAGCAGTCACAAAACTAATTTCCAAAATTCCAAACTTCTGGGACGAACACATACTCAAGACTGGAAGTTTCCTGCTCTAAAGTCTCTTTTGAATGAAGCAAATTGTGTTTGACTCAAGAGGACATCCCACTGACAAAGATGAAACTGCAAATCTTTGAAAATAATCCTATTTTGAACTATGGCTTATACTTTTAATTTGTAATCAAAGCATGTATTTTCGATTGACAATTTGTCTTATGCCCCTCCAAGTCAAAGAAAAGAAGGGAGTGTGCCCATTGCATCAGCTCTTTGCATTAGATAGTTCTCTTATAACCCCATGTTATGTTACAGAGGTTTAACAAACAGACATCAGCACTCCTAAAGCTTGACAAGTTTATATAGGCATTTTGGAAGAAAATTTTGTTGTATTTTTACTATTATACTATGAATATATTTTATTTCAGATGTGTTTTTTCTGTTTCTTTGGGTCTTTGATACAAGGAAAAAAATCAATGGAAGGCAAATAATTAGGCAAGCAGAGGGCTCAACTGAACACCCACTTGAAATAATTAGGGACCGTCAAACAGCACATGGAATATAATCCAGAGGTATGAAAGTTTATTTATTATTCTGTTCTGAATCTAGAAGATAACCCATTAAGTTCAATTTGCACTTGTAGGAATGTTGCAGGTTTCCATCCCCTGAAATTTTGGTGGAAAAGAAAAGGCTGTCTGGATGTTTGAACGGCACTCAAGGGCTTTAAACCAAAGCCAAGGCATTGCTCTCTGAGTGCAAAAAATACTTGGTAAACTGGTAAACAGCTCTCCTTTTCCCCCAGAAGTGGTAACTGCAGTATGTATCCCTTCCTCAAAGAGGGAGCCCTTTGGTCCTTAATATACTGGTCAACAGACTGAAACAGGAAAATTGGCTGATAAGCCAATTTTCTCTGCCACTCTTTGAAGGATCAAAAATTTACTGATTTTAAGAGTAGGAGATAACATTGCATTACCCATTACCTTGGAGTATTCAGCACCTTCTGAACTGAAATAATATATAATATTTGGTTAAAACACAACAGCTACTCCCCTGGAAAGCTCTGGATTCCATCTCCTAACATTTCTAAAAATTCACCACTAGCTTTGGTAGATTAATCTAATCCTTAACTATTCTTGAATTTGCCTAGTTGCATCTTGCAGCAATTGATTTGTATTTGTCCTTCACAAACAGATTAGAGATTCCAGGATTTCTCACAGCAAAGACAGTCTGTCTTGAAAATAATCTCTCCATCTTCCTTTTGGCAAGATAAAAATACACAAGTCATTCAGTGTCACTTGAAGGTATTTTATCCAGCCCTCTAGATTTTGGTCTTTTCCCAACTGAAATAAACCAAAACCAACCCTCAACATGAAGGCCACTAAATCCATTAAAAAAATAACCACGTTATTAATTACTCCAAATTCTTTAATTTTTAGCAGCTTATTAACCAAAGGGGACTTCACAGCTAATACAAACATGGTCAATGTCATAGGGTGAGATCTTTAGCAGCTACAAGATGAGATCTCAACTCCAGTTTTTCAGCAGACAGAGAACAATTCCAGTTAATTACCATTTTTTACCAAAAAGCTGCCATCATTGTCTGTCCTTCACTGTCTAATACTGCACAAAGTACTATCTTTAGTATGATATTTTGGCAAAAAATTATTTTATATAAAAAACTGCAGCATCTCAACAAGTTTTTCTCTTCTTTGTCAAGTCAAAGCCCTTCATTAGAAGCTAAGCAAAAATACTCTCCTGCATACTAGAGTATGCCTACCATTATGGGAATTTAAATACATACCAACTACCTAAAGCATAACACAATCCAGAGACAAAAATGTTAGGCCTTCTCTCAAAAAAAAAAAAAAGCCTTTTCTGTTTAATGTAGGTAAGAAATTGCAAGCCTGCAACCAGAGAGCACATTCTCATCTATGTACACCACAATCTTGTACCCAAGCTCTGTATGAACAGGAAAGGATTCAGTTGGAATTTAACATTCAAGGACACACACTGTACCAAAGTTATCCTCTTCAAATCCTTAACCTTAAAGAACAACTACACTGGAAGCCTGAGGAGACTTTACACCATCATGCTTTCCACAGTAAGAAAACACTGCTACATGAACTACAACATGCAAGCCACATCTATAACCTGCCAGAATGGGTCTGACCAGCTCAGCTTTTAAGAATTGCAAAGTTCAACCATTTTTCAGATTAATTTTTCAAGTGATAATGAGATAATCTAAAAGAAGAAACCAATTACATTTGGTCAAACACCTGTGCATACAAGAGTATTGCATGGGAAATTCAAAACAGGGGACAGAGAACAGTCTTGGGAAAAGGAGTGGTAAGCAAGCCTTGCTTTTTATCTCTCCATTTTATTTGTTTGGATTTGTCAAAAGACAATTTACTGCACAGGTAAATGTGTGAAATAGCAGAATACCCACCATATACATCAGAATGTCTCTAATCATCACCATTGCTGTTTGATGATCGTTCCACGCTTGGTTTAGTGTTTGTAGAAAGTTGTTATTCAAGGAGTTTAACACATCTTCTCGCACCTGAAGCAAAAAAAATAATAGATTGCCATAAACTCAAGTCAGTTTCTCCTGCAGCATTTAAATCTTAACAAACTTAGCTTCAGCACAAATTTCCTTGCTCCTCTGTGAACTTTTCTGTGGAAAAATATGACTTCACACATGTAAGAAAAATGAGACTAAAACCACGAAGAACAAAATAAACATAGGTATTAAATTTCAAAGGAATTCCTGAAATCTCAAATGTTAAAAGTATTTTTTTACAACTCTTCAAAGGTTTTATCTCCTATGTTATAGTGTTTAAAGTAATGTTAACTTTACTATCACAATTAATTTTAGAATACTGGTTAGTAGCAGTCAATATTACAAACAGGAACAAGTACAGGTGGAAAATTGGCCATGATGACATTTAGAGAGACAAGCTGAGACAGCATAAAGTTACAGCAAACAACCATCACTGGTAAAGACCAGATTCTTACACTGACAGTCCATACTCTCCAGCAACGAGAAAAAAAAGTCATCTTTGTTTATACAAATGTATTTGCTCATTTGATTCATCTGTCTCAACTTCAGACTTTATGCTTCTTTGCCACTACTACTCCTGTTAATAAAAAAAGAGCATCCAGTTTCATATTTTGATTTTATGCAGCAGAAATATACTATGGTGCTCAAGCTTTAAACTCATGTAAAGGAGAAACCCATGGCAACGTAAAAAAAAATATTCCAGAGTTAACAAAATGCAGGAATTGACTTTTGACATAACATGAAGAATATATTCTGCCCTCGTTGTAACCCAACAGAATGTATTCTCACATTTACAGATCTGCACTTATGCTTGGGTGAGTGCAAATTTCAGCACAGAGAATTCAAAGAGGAAAATAAAATGCACACAGCAAGCAACCACAAACTGCACCAACATCACATGCAACCACCTGAGAGACTTCATTCTGTTAAAGTTTTATGCAGTTATTAGGCCAAACCAGCATAACAAGGAAGTCTGTCTGCCACACTACTATATATACTCCATAAACTTAGATGAGCAAACCAGAGACAGAGCATGGCACATCACACAAACACAATGGTCTCTTCTCAAGAATCTCTGGAAGCTTATCCCAACAATATTCACCTTGTTCCTGAATCTAGGCAACACATGTATCTGTAGGTTGTTCAAAGCTTTCTGAAGTCTTCAAACACCCACTCTGCAGACCTGAGCAAGGCCTCTCCTTTTTACTTTTGGAAAACATAATATGCAGTTATAAGCACTGCTTAGCTGCCTCATTCTTCCTGATCATGACCATTATTTACCCTTTGGTCTCCCAAATGTGTGCTCTGTTAACATCCAATCTATGTAGTTTTTAGCCAAAACATAAATATGCATTAAAAACTTCAGCAGACATACTTGTGAAGAGTATGCAGAATCTCCCAGAACAAGAGAAACACACGTGACATGGTTGCTTTCACTTCTTTGGCCAGTATGTAATAACATCGAAAACATTATTTGGTAGATCACCCACAAAGGTAAAATTTACCAAAGCATGATTAGCTTATAAGCACAGATAACCAGGGACATTAATTTTACAACACTTTTTTCAAACAACACAGAGGCAGTGTGCCTTTGTGATTGTACAAATCCATCACACTAATGCTACTGGGCCAGCCAGTGTCAAATCACACACCAACTGGGAGCAAAAGGGGGTTCTTGCCAGCAGGTAGCAGTGATGAATTGCTTCCAAGCAGACACCTGAACACTCAACAGCAGTGCCACCTCTGCTCCATACAGAATGTTATGTGGCTTTCTGGAAATGTGTTTTAAAGTGCTGTACAACAAAACTACTTCAAGAGTACCTCTTCTCAGTGACATCCTCCAAAGTTTATTTTAAGCTGCAGAGAGGTTTGGGAAGCTATTCTTTTAGTTGCTACAAAACCCACCCAAATTATTTCTTACAACAGCTGTCTAATTAATAAGTGCTCAAAGCATTCCTTGTATAGGCCATGAATACAACGTTACAGGAAAACTACTATAATGCACATAACATCTTAGCTATGCAAAGATGCAGAGTCAAACCACTTCAGTAGAATAAATGATTTGAAGTAAAAAAACCTGGATATCCACACTCTCCTACAAGAGAAGACAGCCCTTCAGAGAAACAGCTGCTACTCTTCCAAAGCCTTAGGAAAATCTCAGTCTCAAAGATTTTTATCAGCAGAATGTTACTATGAATTAGTGAAGCTTGTAGTGATTTCTGTGACAATATTTGCAGCTATACAGTGAATTGGCAAGGGAAGCCAGTTTAAATAGGACTGTCCATATAAAGACTCACTTGAAAATAAATTAGCAACTTCATAATCTATGTAAGGTGGTCTTATAGTTGCAAGGATGAAATCCAGTGTATAACTTCAGGCTCAACTGCATTTTGATACAGATCTTCAGGAAATACAGAACCCTTCCCCCAGTCTCTTAAGAATAGTTGGCAGAAGCTTTCAATACCTTTAAATAACTCTTTATCAAGTGTACACAAAGCAGACTTATGGCCTAGTATTTTCTCTCTTACAGTGCCTGGCCTGATGCAGCAGCACAAATAGTTCAATTATGTAATTTCCACTACTTGTAAGGACAGCCAGAACCTTCTATGGGGAGCAGCAGTAGAGAACAGCACTTTCTGAACTAAGGTCTCAAGCCTTCAAAACTTTTATTATGGAGTTTCTTTATCTTCTACAAAAATCCAAGTAGTCTAAAAGATGGTATTCTAAAATCTTAAGAGTCCCAAGTAAGTTAACAGATTAACTATGATTTTACCAGAAATGTCTGTTCATCCCTGCAGCTGCTATCCTACTGCTGAAAGAAAAAAACCAATACTGAAGAATACTGATGATTCTGAACTGTTACTTACTTTCTGGCAATTCCCTCACATTCTTTTGCCCTCCATATAGTAGTAGACTTGCAAAAGATCATCTGAAAACATCATTAAGAAAATATAAAGGCAGATAACACTTCATACATTGTCAGTCAGGCTTACAGTACACCCTAATGCTCAATGGGTAATTCACCTCCTACACAACTTCTCGTGTCATTCCTCCCTATTTGTTGATGTTATGGAAATAATTTCAAATTCCCTGTAGGAGATGCCTCTCTTATCTCTCCCCTTTTCTCTGTGACACCACAATAGCAAATTCTAAAGCTTGCAAAGGATACCAGACACAACTGAGTCCCAGAGCAGACATGCTTCCTTCAGCCCACACCTTCTGCACCAGCACCCCACACAATTCCTTCTGCATTTAACACTGCCACAGTGACCAGCTCTGTGCCCTCCCTAAAAAATGCTTTCTTGCATGCTTGCCTGTATTATTATTCTGAAATAGCAGGTACTGTCCCTACCAAACTCAACCAGCTGTATCAATTCTGTCACAGCAGTAGAGATGTTTGGTAAGAGTAAGACATATTGCAGGACATGAGGATATCCCAAGCACCTCTTTCTTTTCAGAAATGCTCTAGTGTCTCCCCAAATGACCATATTTCAGTCCATTTAAGTTTAGGACAGTCCTTTACATCTCTGAATCTGATGTACACTGCACTGAAAAATCAACAAGACTGTACTGGGCTTGGCCAACAAATCAATGAATTCCTTTGTCACACACACACAGTTTATAGAATGCTTATGGTATGTTGCATGTCATGGGTTTAGATTTCACTAGACTATGATGTGTGCATAAAAATCATAGAATGGCTTGGGTTGGAAGGGACCTTAAAGACCATCTCATTCCAAATCCCCTGCCATGGGCAGGGACACCTTTCACTAGACTCAGTTGCTCAGACCCCCATCTAACCTGGCCTTGAACACTTCCAGGGATGGGGAATCCACAGCTTCTCTGGGCAACCCATGCCAGTGTCTCACCAGCCTCACTTCTCACCAGAATTTCTTCCTACTCTCTTCCAGTCTGAAGCCATTACCTCTTGTCCTGTCACTACATGTCTTGTAGTGTAAAAATTTCCTCTCCACCTTTCTTGTAGGCACTCTTCAGGTATTCAAGGCCACAACTACATCAGCCACTTCCCTCAGGACTCGGGATGCATCTCATCAGGTCTCAAAGACTTATGTATAAAAGGAACGTCAAGAATATTATCCTGTAAACTTTTTAACGTCGAGATTTTTGTTTATTGTAACACAAGTGATGTTGCTCATTGTCAAATGGTTTAGAGAACTGTAAATTAAGCTCTGTTTTTAAAAAAAACACTTAACATTTGTATGAAGAAGTAACAAACTAGATTTGAGAGCTGTGAAGGAAGACTGTCCACATCAAGTGGGCAAGAAAGGGAGAACTCAGTGAAGTACCTGATGCACAGGAATTAAATACTTGAATTAAGATGAAAGGCTTCAGTACTTTCAAAATTCAACTGTATTTTTAAATAGGTCTACTTGTACCCTACTTAAATAATGATGTCAATACACAGGTAAAGACAAGTTTTAGCATGTCCTTACCCTGTAGTAAAAACAGGGTAGTTCAGGACAGCTGACTCCTCTCAGTGATGCAGAGTACCTGCCTTTCTATTGCCCTCATCATGCAGCCAGAACCTGGTGATTAGTACTTACAAGCCATTAGGGTGTGAGAGTTCAAAACCAAGCACACTTGACAGTAACTCCCTTGCAGGAATGTACCTTGTATTGATTCCATCTGCACCTATCATTTTATTTACAATTAAACAGGCTGTAAGGACAGTACACTGTATTACGTCCTGTTGTTGAGAAGTTAAATGCTTATAAGAAAAGTATTTGGTTTCTAATTAAAATGCTGAATAAGCACAACTTTCTTCTAATAGTTAAATAAGCATAAAGTGTAAACACAGCTCCTAACCATGTCTCACCAACAATACAAGCTTGTGCTTTCCAAGCTTTAAAGCTATTTGTAAAAACATCTGAACATACATGTTGCCTCTACCCAGTCTCTTCATCTATTCTAAATTAACCAGCATGACAGGAATACCACAGGAATGTAGCTTTTTTGTAAAAAGATAATCAGCAGATGTAGACAGCAAAGGACAATGACGTTTCAAGGATTCTAGCAATCTCAAATTTGGGTTTGGCTCCTCAGCAGTGCTCCCTGAATTGAGTGTAGTTCTTCAGTAAAAAGTGACTCACTTCTGCACATTTTCATTTTTATAAAAGTTATGAAATTTAATGAACGTTTCAGTTGGCAAAATCTCCCTCTCCTAAATTCTAGCATTCACCACTGAGTCTCTAAATTTACAAAGACTTGTGATGAGAGGATTTATTGTTAATTAGCTACTTAAAATTTAACAGAGAATTGCCCTTGGGAAGAGACAGTGAACAGAAAAAATTTCTCTAAAATTTCTGTGACAAAGTGTGAGGTTAAACAAAACTTTTTTTTTTTAATCTATCTTACCACAAGTACTAATGGCACAAACATAAGATGTCATTATAGAACTGATCCTATTCTTAGTAAACAATGCACTATTTTTTCCATACTTCCATCTATAAGTACCTCGACATAATATCCCCAAGTAAATACTCAAAAGGGACAAGGAGTAGCTTTGAGCTACTAGTACAGATTATGCATGCACAGATTATGAAAACAGAAGAGTTTGAGAGTCACAGATGTGCTACAGTTATAGAAAAGAGCCATAAATTATTCAGCCACTTCATACAGGATGTGTCCTCTCGTGCAACAGTAAAAAAAGTCCACGTTAGAAGCAGTTTTAGACTATACTTGTTCAGAGCACACCTTTGAAACTAAGATTTTAGAAAGAAAATAACACATTTCTCATCCACAGCAGTAACTCCAGTTGGAATGTACAAAAAACTCCCAAGAATTCTGCATTATTTAGACATAAACCTCCCATCCATTCCCTGTAATTCAGCCATAAATAATCATCCAACACACATGATGGTGTACAACTTTGCTTTTCAGGTGTTGTAAAAACAGCCAGTATATGGGATCAGAGTGGACATGTGTCTTTTTTTCAAAGATAGGTAGATATGGAGCAAGGCAGGCATCTCTCCAGACTTGGAATTCCAATTATCCCTAAATATTACGTGGACTCCTAAAAAGTGAGTTTTAACTTCGTTCAATTACATACTTATTAAATCAATTCTAAACTTTTCTCTCAAAGACAGGAGAGGTGGTTCCATGGTTTAACATGAGACCTAAAGAGTCCTTTTCTCTGATGATACATCTTCAGAAACAAGAAGTTTCTGCATGTCATTTTGACCAAGTTTTGCAAGAGCCAAAATGATAGAATACAGACTACTCAGGACTTTTGTTGTTGCTGAGCTGATGTTTTTGAACAGTGCCTACTGCCTCTTTAAATAGCATAATCCTACCACAACTCTCTCATTAACTTGTGAATTAGTTCATTAGCCCATAACAAACAGGTTCTTACACTGGTATTTATTTTGTTCCACAGATGAAAAAACTGACTCGAAAACAACCCAAAATTTGGCCTAAGAAAGTCATAAAATGCCACCAAAAAGGCCACAAACTTTAAAAAAAAAGATCCCCAGCTCTCAACAGTTATTCTTCAACAAAAGTTGTTTCCTGTTATACACTTTCACACACTTTCTATGGTCTGTCCTCCATTAGTAACTTACAAAAAACAGTACCTGGAACATGAAGTCATTTGAGCTGGGTGTTAGCTCTATGCTACTGTTTCTGAGAGAAGCTACACAACTGCAACACGAGGCGACATTATAAAGTTAGATTTTTTTTTGTCCTTTAAATAACTGTTCAGAATTCTTTCCTATAAGATACTTCCATTTTAATTAAAACGACAAACCTTGTTTATTAGATGCTCAGTGACCACTTCTCTTAGTCCAGTGTAGAGTTTTTCACCATGTTTATGTAACACCATTGTATATGCATTCCTATACAGCTCCTCAAAACTGAGACCGCTATTGTTCTTACGCTGGATCTCTTGGATTGCATTTTTCAGAAGATCCCAAATGCTGTTCACATATTTCTCATCCATAGTCATCTGTAAAAATAAAACAACATGTTATTGTTTAGAATCAAAAAAGAATATGGATAATAGAAGGTAATTGTTCTGCCACATCTTGTTGATTTTATTATCACAAGGTTTCTCAAACTTTATTAAAATAGTGTTTATGAAACTAGCAAGGATTTAAAGAAACAGTTACGGAAATTGTAATTTGTTAAAGTTTAATGGTTTTTCCTTTCAGAGCTGCAAAACCACAGAATCCAACTCCAGAGCCTTTTTAGGTGGAAAGCCAGGTATTCATGGACATGACCTTCTTCCCTACTCTTCCTCCACAGTGCTAACAATGGTGGATGGTTAACTCTCATCCCATACTACACATTACTTGGTGCCTCCTAAATTGTACTGCAACACTAATCTGCTTCACCAGACCCCAAATCAACCTGTATGATAACAGATAATGTCTGACACAGGGTTAGCAAACTTAGTCATCTGCTTGATCCACTAGGTGCTTCAAAATATGTCAGATAAAACAGTATCTGGGATTGCAAGTAAGTGTAGCAAAAAATTATCAGATGTCAGGATTGCTCAAAGTTTGTGAGTCACTTTGGTTTAGTTTATATGAAAACAGGAACTGAGTTAGCATTTTATATGTAAAGAAAAAGGATGAAGAGTGAAGAGAAAAAAAGCTGCTATTCCCACAGTTACTGTGGAAAAAGAAAATATCCCACACACCAATCTACCAATATCCCAGATAACAGTCTACCAATAATGTCAAAGTAGCCTTTAAATAAGAGCTAAAGTAGTGAAAGAGTAAAGAATAATGGTGTGACATTACAGAGGAAAATCATGACCAGGTGTAGTCTACCTCTCCTTCCCCTTCCACCCAAGAACCATTAATAGAAGAAAAATATGGAAAACTAGATTTGACTGCATTTGTAATCAAACACAATTATTAGCAGAACTTTTTTCATAACAAGTATATTTTTACATGTATTTTCAAGTTATCATATCAACTTCTCTAGGCATTACAAATAAAAGTACAGCTCATGATAAAGAGAAGCCATTCATTGCCTTGGGAGGGAGTGGGCTGCTGAACAAAATCAAAACAAGACACACAACACACAATCTTCCATCCTGCTTGTCTTCTGGAGTTTTGGTTAAATACAAAGATTTTTATGATAAAAATAATCCTATCACTACTTTTCCCACTTCTCTGATACCAGATCCACTAGACTACTCAACTCTATATACCAAAAACTTGAGATATGGTGTTAGATATCCAAAAATTCTTAGCTCCCCATCTCCCAAAAGTAAAGCCTCAAAGTAGCAGAGGAATGGCGGATGGAACGTCACGTGTCCCTCCACACTTTTTGCCTATTCTGCTATGTGTAATACTGAAAGGTCAGTAATTCTGTTTTTAATTTGCATTTGCTACATTGGTGCCTCTTCAGGGAAATTATTTTCTAAAGCCTTCCTGAACCAGCAATTTTACGAGTACTGATAATGAAGGCGAGCATTTAGATTTGCAGACAGCAATCCAAGTAAAAGCTTTTCAGCCTTCTTTTCAAAAAAACGAGGTTTTGTTTTCAAACAAAGCATAGACTCAAACCAACACCTCCCAGTGTCCTTTCCTCCCCTTGCTAATCAAGAATCTCCAAGCCAACACGACCTTTTTATCTCAACTGTGATTTAAGTGCACCCTGTATTTTAGAAAAGGTGTGATCTGTATAAACCTGGCAAATCACGGAGGTGTTACAGCACTGCTGCTTCTGGGCTGGTCACAGCGAACACCTCTGGGTGTTACAGATAAAGCAGCACTTTGGATAACTCAGATCTGTTCAGGAAAAAACTAAAAGTGAACTGTTTAATTCTTCTACTTTTAATCCAAATGCTATAAAAACGAAGGAAAGACTGTAATGTTATTTGCTCCAAACTCACTGAATACAAACATGAACATGGAGCTTTCTGCCACTTAACAGTTGACACACCACAAGCTGCTCTGGTCTGGAAGCACAAGAAAGGTGCATAAAAGGTAATTTTAAGGAGTACACACCTCCATGGGATAAATATACAGAAATATTTGAAAAAGTATTATAAACTTATTACCTTTTAGGATTAAGCATGAAGGACTCTGCTTTTCAGTGCAGCTTCCTATTCTGCTGATGACTTAGATTAACATCTGTGAGGTTTTATGGGAACAGGTTTGCTCAAGTTCTAGGATATCAAGGATATCTAGGATATCTGAGCACTGTCTTCCAAAAAAGCTCTAGCACAGCTGGCTTATTTGCAGCAGTGTTTTCTAACAAAGCAAAGACTCCTAACACTTTAAATAATTCCACTCTATTTGGCAGTAAGTCACTGCAGTAAAGTTTGAGCAAAAATGTATTATTTCCTCTCCACTGCTGAAAAATTGTGTACCATTTGAACAGAAGAGGTCTTCCTGTATTCTCAAAGGTACATTAGATTTGCAATGGCTAAATCTACCCTTGGATTATTTAACTCACAGGTTCATCTCTTTTCATCCCCTTTTCCTTAAGTCAGGCTTGTATGCAGATTTAAAATCCAAACAACTAACCAATACATACATTTTTGATACTACTCAAACACTTTGCCATTTTTCAAAATTCTGTACAAAAGCATCTCTGAAAACACTATTAGAAAACTGTGACTCAACAGGGAAAATTTATGCAACTCTCTGGATCCCTACTCTATGAGTGATAGACTTCCACAAATATGAACACAGAATTAGAGCCCTGATGTTTTTTCATGTTCATTCCCAGATTTCTTTTAATGGTTATATTTTAAAAGTGAACTCCACATTTTTAATACAGTTGCCTTGCTCGTGTCGTGTATTGTTGCAGATTTAGCAGAACCCGGATTGCTGCTTCTGCTGGTGCTTTGGAAAAAAAAAAACCACACACACAGGTCTGGAAAGGCTTTCAGAAGCAAAATCCCATTAACTTCAGTAGTGCCTACACCCAGATTCACCAAGATAGTAAGAAGCCAGTGTCCAAATAGAGGAAATGTGTTAATGTACTCCTGCTTATCTGAACATTACCTTTCTTGGGGAATGGGAGAGAGACCAAGTCTGTTATTGGCAGGAGAGAGAGCTGTTTATAAGAAGCCGCTAGTTGGAAAACTTCCACAAACCGCTGCCCAAATGCTAATGATTCAAAGATGCAACTCGAACACAAACATCTGAACTCAGAGCATAGCACAAGTACATCTTGAGGAAATTAGACTAAAACGTCAGTGTACATGAAAGTGCAATCATCTCACCAAAAAAAAAAAAAAGTCTGCAAAGGACTCAAAATGTCCTTTATTCCACAGTGCAGGATCACTCTCAAGCCCCTTCCTTTAACAGTGTTTGTCTATCATATTAAAAATTACCAAGACCAAATAAACAATCACTGCCAGCAATCTACTGCCATTATCACCCGAAAAGCAGGTAAAGCTGGTAACAGTCCTGAACAGACTTCTCAGTGTCTCCCTCCCAGAAGCTGACACTACAGGCACCTGTTTGAGTAACTTACTGGCATCAATCACAACAGAACAGCTCAATTCTAGGAGTTTTCTGATTAACATACAACTTCAGACAAAATATTAATCACCCTCCTTCTAGTCATGTAGGTCAAAGGGAAGTGCAACATCCTGTCCCTAGGGAGCAGGAACAACTCCATGTGTTAAGACCTGCTGAGGCCAACTGGCTGGAAAGCAGATTTGTCAGAAAAGAACCGAGAGCACTTGACAGACATCAAATTGAAGATGAACTAATGGGCCTGTGAGGCAAAGAAGATTAATGGTATTGTGGGCTGCTTTTGGAGGAGTATTGCCAGTAGGTCAAGGGCTCTGTGCAGCACTGGAGAGACATATGTGGAGTAGTGTGTCCAGTTCAAGGCTCCCCAGTACAAGAGAGACATGAACATACTGGAGAGAGTCCAGTGAAAGGCCACTAACCACCCTCTGGAGCACCTCTCACATGGGAAAAGGCTGAGAAAGACAGCCTAGGGAAACCCTGCAGGGATCAAATCAGTGCATACAAAAGCCAGTGGGAGGGTGTACTGAAGAGGGAGGGAACCAGCCTCTTTGCAGAGGTGCCCCATGACAGGACCAGATACAACGGGCACAAACTGAAACACAGGAGATTCCCCCTGAACATCAGGAAAACTTTATTGTGAGGGTGACCAAGCACTGGCAAAGAGCCCAGAGAGGCTGTGGAGTCTCCATCCTTGGACATGGATTCAAAAGCCATCTGGATACAGCCCTGAGCAACCAGCTCTAGGTGACCCTGCTTAAGCAGTGGGGCTGGACAAGGAAGTCCTGAAGTGACTTCCAACCTCAATCCCCATGTGATCTGGTGATACACACTATGGCTGTACACTGAGGAAGCAGGAAAACCAGGGCTCCTTGAGTAAATGTGACCTTCTAAAACTGCCAGTACCAGTCTTCCAAAGGAAATGCATTGAGGGATAACAAAGGTGAGCAACAAAATACTTGTGGTCCCCAGTGGAACCAGGCATTTGTTCCCTGGCTTAAACCAACTGCAGTCAAAGAACAACACTAAAACTCCCAGACTCACAAAAACCCACCAGATCTACTGCTGGAAATTCTTTGCATAGAAATAAATGCTTTGGCGTGTAATTTCCATTCTGTACACTTTAACTTTTACAACAGTTTCGTTTGGATGCAACTTCATTTCATATTCTTGTCAGTTGATCGTTTCACCCTTAACACTACAGAGCTTGCTCCTCTTACTTATATAACCATGCTCTGAGTGCTGTGAACTGCAGGGAAGAGTTACAGGGGTAAACTGTTAAGAGCCTGCTGATTCTAGAAGGTATACACCAACTTACTTTTACTGAAAGTAGCTATTTAGTCTTCTTACCAAGAGATGGTTAAGAAAGAAGTGAGGAAGAGGTAAATAGATGTCCCACAGAATCTCTGTAGGAGTATCCACAGAGGTTTACCCATCAGCAGAAACAGGAGACACATGAACTAGTACTCTCAAGACTAGTGACTGTGGCAGGAAGAATGTA